GCATTTTTTCCAAGGGTTTGTGAGGACTCTGTATAGATGTTAACTGTAATTGGGCTATCTGAAATATGGAGGTGTGAATGTAATACTTACAATATTAACAATATAACAATAAAAATAACATATAAATTGCATTATTAAGGCTACTACTAAGTCCAAACAAAACATTTTTTTTCTTGTAAAAGTAATGTTAACATTTCTTCAGCTAAAACGTTTGTCATTGTTTTTCCAAAATATTCTAGAGTCCCAAATCAATGTTTTCTTCATGGATTAAAAAAGACACAGACTCCAAGCCCAGCAGGCCTCTCCAATCAAACAATTGTGCCAATATTCAATAGAGATCTCTCTGAAGGCAAAGTGAGTCCCTTATATGGATGGAGGCAGGATCACCGCAGCTGGAACAAATCACTCCCCCTTCACCCCGCCTCACTCCTGCTTTATAATTAAAGGTCTGACTGGGTCGTTTCCAAACGGTTCAGGTGTCTCTCCCCCCTGGCTTTCATTATCCAGCATATTACTTCTGTTTCTTCTGCATTAATCGTTTGAGGCGCAGGTGAGTGTAGCTTCTCAGCCAGAAACGCTCCTTTGCTTTAATCTTGTTTGCAATTAGCGTAAAAAAAATGTTGACTAATTAACGCAGGAAACAGCAGGTTAACTTTCCAAAAGCACAGTTCATCGCTGCTTTTTTTTTATTTTTATAAAATTGCATGTTCGTGAGCAATAAACTAAAAATGTAAACTTTTTTTTTTTTACCCTGTTAGAGGCAGGAAGACCGCAACAGATTAAAATGGTGAAGATCGGAATCAATGGGTGAGTTAAAATTTCTCCTTTTTCAGATTACTTTCTTTTTCGCTTTTTGCACTTTTTTTATGTGATGGGTTTTCTGACGGATAATCTACCGCACATCAATGTTTTTCCTAAACCTTTGACATGTATGGAAGTGCGAGGTTTCTATCCAGACTGAGGTTCACAGTCTTCAGGATGTCTGAAGAGCAATGGATCTTTAAATAATTATTGCTGAATGATCTGTGACCTTTGTTTGACTTTTTTCCTCCCCTAACCATTAACCCTTTATAGGGCACAGCCAATGGTGTTACTGGAATACAGGACAAGAACTTATTACCTTTGTAACATAAAAAATATGGATATTTTGATGGCAAAAAAATCAATGTCAATGTAACAACAAGAAATGCCACCTTGCCTAAATGTATAAATAACAAAAGTGCTTCTAAAAGAAAAAGTGTTTTTAAAACACTTTTTTCACTGAGCGTGAAAGAAACATATTTTGTTTTGGTACAACATAACCTTAGATGCATGAATGCATTTTTTTAGTTTAGTAACCTAAATATAATTGTTAACCAGGCTTAACTTTTTTACTTTACATTTTAACTTTTCAATCAAATTTTTACCTTGTTTTTGTTAACTTTTTTTGAAACTTAATTTACAGTAGGTAATATATCATTCAAGGGCTCATCTAATTGGTCAAATGCAAAAATAAGATGTAAGATGTACAGCCATGTAGCAGTATCTTTGCTAAATGGCTGGATATAGATCTTGTTCTTCTAGACTTATGCAAGTGATCAAAATAGTAACTTGCCCTATAAAGGGTTAAGTTATGGTCCTAATGACTCAAGCCTTGATTAACCATAATCTCAAAAGGAGCCTGTATATCCCAATCTTTGACTTGTGCACCCCTTTGGGCATTTTGTCTTGCCTGTCCAAAAGTGGAATGTACAAAAACTAATTAAAAAAATAAAGTGTCTGATTTAATCTTTCATTCTTTGGCATGTTATTTGTTCCAAATCATAAATTGTTTCCTGTAAGCTAGTAAGGAATTAAAATAAATAAAATTTAAAATCATACTATAAATCTGCCTTCATAAAACTGGAGCTTGTCAGAATAACTCCCTAAATCGCAGGAATTGGGAACAACATACTAAAAAATAATAAGACTGACTTGTTTTGATGTTTGCAAAGCTGAACTTAAACATATAAGAAACGCTTTTTATTTTTCAGGTGAGTCCTCAAAGCAGAACAGATCCCAGCCCTATTTTCTTACCTGAGAAATAAAATATTTTCATGTACCCCTTGCAATACTCTTGGTGACCGCTAGGGGTAAGATACCCTCAGTTGGGAATTACTGAATTCTGCACAGGATTTCAATGAATGCAAAAAAGGAAAAAGTTACCAAGCACTGAACTTTTATTTATTTATTTTTTCCTGTGGTCTGTAAATATTAACTAGATCACTGGCCAAGATGGAATCATGGCACCCTTAGCTGGACATCTTGTCTTCTGGGGGTTTGTCCTTTTTGCCTTGATATTTATAGCTCTCAGGTCCTGTGGCTCTGTATTCTGGTGTCGTTCCATTCACACCCACTCCACTATATCCCTGTTTTCCCTCAGCTGTCACATTCCTTTTATTATTCACACTTGTCTAAATTTAACTCTTAACATCTCTGAGGTCCAGAGATCATCAATGCTAAGACCTGAGGATTGTTGTAATTGTTCACCGTCCTGTGAAGCAGCACCTGCTGCTGGGAGATTTAGACAGTCAAAGCTGGGGGGGGGGCATAGTCCAGCCTCACACAAAGGGGCCCAGGCCAACATGGCTACGATCCAAGTTCGTTCTCATAAACTGCTTCCTAAAATGGTTTAAGTAAAGCTACAGCCTTTTCCAGAGTGGCTGACTCCTGTTATATCCATGTAAATGGACTGACTGCATCCATTTAATTTTGTTTTGATGTTTCTTCCCCATCTGTTGCAAGTCAAGTGTTAATTTTATGTCGTAAATTCATATACCAGATGTATGGACACCTTTCACTGTAGTTCATGGCAAGTTGCAATTTGTGCACCTCATCTGCTGGTAATCCTGAAACAAGTTTTACTACTTTTCTGGGAAGAGGATAAAAATGAGGTGGAGCCCTTGATATTATTTGAACATTAAAGACAAACCTTGAAGTTTTCCTATGATATAATCATGTCGATGGGGATTTGATACAGAATCATAGTTGAAGTTGTTTGGAATTTGAACCCGAATGGAGGGATTTGATTTATCCTTTGCAAAACAAAAGATTAGATTTCCTGTTGCTGGATTTCAGATTTGGACGCATCGGCCGTCTTGTAACACGTGCTGCAGCCATGAGTGAGAAGGTCCAAGTTGTTGCCATCAATGACCCTTTTATCGACCTCGACTACATGGTGAGCCACCTTTTTTCTTTAACAGATTTATTTTTGGTGTGAAAGTTCTCCATGTCGTCATATCGTCTGGGGGGGCTGAACCAATAAATTCTTTTAAATGTTTTAAAATGCATTTAAACCTTACCAAATCTGTCCATTTTTAAACTTGTCTTCTAGGCTTACATGTTTAAGTACGACTCTACTCATGGTACTTGGAAGCATGGGGAGGTGAAGGCAGAAGGCGGCAAGCTGGTTATCGGCAACATGCATATCATGGTCTTCCAAGAGTATGCATCCACTAGATTGAATTGTAGACTTCTAGTTGGTATGGTTTATGTTTAACTTTGTGTAAAAATGTGCAGGAGGGACCCTGCCAACATCAAATGGAGTGACGCTGGTGTGGACTATGTGGTTGAGTCCACTGGTGTGTTCACCACCATTGAAAAAGCTTCAGTAAGTTTACCGTGGGGGGTCTCTTTGGAGTTAGGGATTTCAGACCTTTAGATTATGAGTATTTAACATAGTACTTGATGCAAAAAAGAATAACTCTACAGGTTTAAAAGCAAAACAAAGTTTTGGTTTCTACCTTCCAGGCTCATTTGAAAGGTGGAGCGAAGCGGGTGGTGATCTCAGCTCCAAGTGCTGATGCTCCTATGTTTGTCATGGGTGTCAACCACGACAAGTATGACAATTCCATGAAGGTCGTCAGGTCAGTCATTCTCTTTTGTAATTTCATTTGAGAAAACAAACTTTTTTTTTGAGATGCTAATCCAAACCATAGTGTCTAAGGTTTTATTTTTCTTTCTCCCTCTCAGCAATGCTTCCTGCACAACAAACTGTCTGGCTCCTCTTGCCAAGGTCATCAACGACAACTATGGCATTGTTGAGGGTCTCATGGTAAAATATTTAAACCTTATTTTTCTATTTTCTGTTAAAGATGATTACGAAGGCTTGAGTGCTATATGACACAAAAAACATTTGGAGTATTTTGAAGCTCTTATGACTGCATTTTTACTGTGAACACTGAGCCTGGTTTAAACTGATTAGTAAAATGTTGCTCTATCAATTTTTTTTCTCTTATCCAGAGCACTGTCCATGCTACCACTGCCACACAGAAGACTGTCGATGGCCCCTCTGGTAAAATGTGGAGAGATGGGCGCGGTGCCTCACAGAACATCATCCCCGCCTCTACTGGAGCTGCCAAGGCTGTGGGAAAAGTTATCCCCGAGCTGAATGGGTAAAGATGGTTTATTACCCAATAAATTCAAATGAATTACTGATGATGCATTCAGGTTAATTCATGTTTTAAATCCATCACAGAAAGTTGACTGGTATGGCTTTCCGTGTCCCAACCCCAAACGTCTCCGTTGTTGATCTGACTGTCCGTCTGGAGAAGCCTGTAAGTTTAGCAGAACCTTAACAGTTGATCTGTTTTTCTTTAGAGCAAAGATCTGCCAATTTATCTGAATCTGTGTACAATCATTATTTCAAAGTCTGAAATTCATGGTGAACCATGATGCTGATGAAGATTCTCAGTGATTCATGTCAGTCATTCCAAAAAATAAAAACAATCCACTGGACTTTGTTTCCAACTTTGAAGATGTTTCCCTTCCCATCCAGGAAGCTTTTTCAATTCAAAATGTTAGAAATGGTGTTGATTTCAAGGCTTAATATAGTAGCCCAACAAAGCCTTGTTTTTATTTAGAAAACATGCTATCCCAACCCGTCTACAGGGGAACAAAAGAACTCTTCTATGCAGCCAGGCCAACAACTCTCTTCAACAACACCCTTAGCAGAGACATAGACAGGTATGGGGCATTGCAGGCTAACAAAAGAAGCCAAACAATCCCCTTTCTAAAGGGGTAGACCTGTTCGTCCGTTTCAGTTTGGAAGTTTTCTAAACAAAATCTAGGCTTTGTTAGGCTACTGTATAAAGCAACTCTACACAAATTCTGACATTTTTAATTGAAAAAGCTTCCTGGATGGAAAGTGAAACGTCTTCAAACTTGGAAACAAAGTCCAGTGGATTGTTTAACTTTTGAATACTGAACCATTATTTGTCTTAATTTTAGATTCCTGTACACGCTTCTATAAGTTGTATGTTCTTGTATTTTGTACTAAATTATATAGTATAAAACTTGGCAATGAAGCATTTTCTGATTCTGCTTTCGAACACCATAATTTGTAATTGAACCCTTTTACTGGTCCATGTAATCAGGCAAAGTATGATGACATCAAGAAGGTTGTCAAGGCAGCTGCAGAGGGGCCATTGAAAGGAGTTCTTGGCTACACAGAAGATCAGGTAAATGGAGTAACAATTAACATGCTAGTGTAATCTGATGTTCTGCCAGCAGATGGCAGCACATCTCCAAGCAGGAGAGTACATGTGCCTATCTTAAGCTGCTTATTTTGCTGTTATCTCTCTCTAAACTTGATTTTGTGCTCAGGTTGTGTCCACAGACTTTAATGGAGATTCTCACTCGTCAATCTTTGATGCTGGAGCTGGCATCGCATTGAACGACCACTTTGTCAAGCTGGTTTCATGGTGAGTGTTTGTCAGGATCAATCATGCCATTACTCTTAGAATCACTCAAACTCTTTCAGTCAGATTTTAAAAACAGATGTTTAAAAAATGATAATTATGGGAAATTTAGTTGAAACGAATAACTTGGACTTTTTATTTTTGACATGCAGGTATGACAATGAGTTTGGCTACAGCAACAGAGTGTGTGACCTGCTCCAGCACATGTTCTCCAAGGAGTAAAGCTAATGCTGGTGCTAAAGGGGGAAAAGAATGGAACACATGTCCTGGTACCTGACTGTCAACCTGAATAAAACACTGAGCTGTAATAAAATGGTCAAATTATCCTATGACTGATGTGTTTTGATTCCCCCCCATCAAAATCCTTTTACTGAAAGGTGATTCTCTTCTGTGACCACTTGACTGTTTAGCTAAATATTTAATTCTATTACTTTTTTTTTTCAAAGTGTATAGCTTTGTTTTCTAAGGTGCAAACCTAAACTTGCAATATTTAGATGTAAAGTATTTTCCTGTTTTCAACATCTGGTTCCTTCAGCTGAAGAAGACTAGCAGAGATTAAAGAACTAATAGGATCTGTTTTTGGCCAATATCTACCATGGTAACTTGTTAGAATTTTTAAATCTCCCTGGTTAAGTCAGGACACTGCATTTAAAGAGAATTTTTAAAGTTGGCAGGTTGAATGGAGGCTTTGAGGAACCAAATGCAGAGATGAGTTTGGCAGATTTAGTGAAGGTTTCAGAGGCAACTTGGACGAAAATGCAAAAAAACAAAAAAATTATCAAGAAAAAGTGGGGATCAAGAGATGAGGAAGCGACAAAACAAGGAACCAGCCCTGAGTGAAAGCTCTGCTACTGTTTAAAGCCCAGCACTGATGAGCTCCATCTGTGTAGACTAGAAGTTCTCCACAAAGATTCTCTCTGGAAGAGATTTATAACTCTCTCACACACAAGAACCCTGACAAGTTGTCTCCATTCAGAAATCAAGGGGAAGTGCTAAAGGTTCTTTTCATTGTTTTGGGTGATTCCCTAAATGTGATTCAATGTCTTCACAAAAATTAGTAAAAAGCTACAAAGGTAACAGAACAAGGCAATTTTCCTAGTGGATGGCAGAGGAACTAATAAATGCAAGCTAGTACCAACCTGAAATTATTCACAAAATTTAAAACTTGTGTAATTTGTTTCAGTTCCTACAAAACTAAAGGAAATTTGAGGAAAAACTGGTCAAGCAGGCAACTCAAAAGAATCAAAGTTCTGGTTCTCTGCATTTAACAATGTTTTTCTTCCCTTAAAGAATGCATCTACCTAAGACATTAATTTTGTTTGGAAACAAAATTTAAACTGAGCAACAATTTAAACAATGTATTTGATGCAGACAGTGCAGCACAAAGTTTGAAACCAGATGATGGCAGCATGATGCTGTGGGTTTACCAATACCTTCAGAAGAAACCAAACTCTAACCTTTTCATTAAAGCAGGAAATGTATTAAAATCCTTAAATCTTGGCATTAATAGGAGTGTGGCCTATTGAGGATAACTTTTTTTGTTCTAACTGCAATAAATATGATCCAGATGGATCATCTTTGTCATTTTTATGTCTATGAAAAATGTTCCTGTGGCTAAACATGTTTAGGTTGCTCATTGTGCATGTTTTTAATTTCATATTTGCTTAAAGAAAATGTTTCACATGGAAGGACATTAAAGGTAAGAACAGAGGCAATTCTTAAAATTAACTCATGGGAAATTCAGGTGGTAGCTTCTGTGCGACATCAGGTTTTTGGACTAATAAAATAAAAGCAGTTTCCCATTCTTTAAAGAAACAATCACCCGAAATGATCAATAATTTGAGAAATGGGGTGGAAATTTGGGTTTCTTGGTTGGTTGAGTGAAATTTTCGGTGATTCAGCTGTTCAGTGCTCCTCTTACAGAGGTATTACGGTAAAGCCCCGCCGCAGTCATGCACTGATGTTTATCCCTGACTGGGTTCTGTTCCTTGGCCGCTTCGGACTGATTTCACCTCCTTAAGCGGAGCCTGAAATAGCCGTTTCTTCCTCCGAGGTAGGTAAGAAAGACTCTTTAGGAGATTAAAACGAAGCTGCGTAGGTTCATTGAAAAGATTGGAAAAATGCATGTGCGCACCACTGTTTTTCCTCTAATGCTGCGTAAAAATAAACTGGCCGCAGGACGCAGATGTGCTCCATCTGCGAGGGATTGCTTGCATTTTATTATAAAAACTGCGTTAGTAGGTCTGTTTGTTTATTGAGCTTCTGTAATGGGGTTTGGTCTTTTTTCTGCCTTATAAGGTCAAACCATCCTAATGTATCTGATTTACTCTGCAGCTCCTCATCCTGAAATAGATCCTGCAAATCAGGAAGGAACAGATTAAAGGAAAGGCGTCCAGGTTCTGGTTCAGATCAAGGGTCTCCCTCTGAATTACTTCCCGAGTTGAATCCACAGAAGTCTGGGTTCATGCCGGATTTTGAGCATTTCAGATTTTCCTACTCTAGAATGAATCCAGTCCTGGGGGAGAATGGCTTCCTGGCTCCGCAGCAGCATCACCAGATGACAGGCCAGACTGAAGCAGCCATCCCGGAGCCAGGCTACATCCTGGGGGACAGCGGCGGGTTTGGGCCTGATGGCCTGTATGGGTTGGACCTGGGTGTCCTGCCGCCGTCCTCGAGCCTGACCTACCTGCACCGGACGCCCCCTGCGGCCACGGCGCTGCGCAATGACCTGGGGTCCAATATCAGCGTCCTAAAGACCCTGAACCTGCGCTTCCGCTGCTTTTTGGCTAAAGTGCACGAATTAGAGCGCAGGAATAAAGTTCTGGAGAAGCAGCTGCAGCAGGCTGCAGAGAACAGCAGCGGAGGAGAGGGCCACCAGAAGTCACTGACCAAAGACATGGGGGTCCAGACTGGATTTATAGGACCTATTCCATCTAGACCGAACCACATCCCGCTCCATACTGTCAGTAACTCAGCATATCTACCTGGTGGCCTCCTCTCCCCCACCCTGAACCACCCTCCCCTCCTGGGAATCAACCTGAACACTGACTCCAACTCTAACCTCACCTCCTTGGCTTCCTCCTCCCTTGGTGTTCCCAAAAGTCCTAGCAGCGCAACCAAAACTAATATCAACGACAAGCACGCCCCCTACACCGGTCCAGCCCACAGCACCACACTGCCTCCACCACCACGCTTCCTGCCTGGAACCATTTGGTCCTTCAACCACACCCGGCGCTTCGGTATGGGGAGGGAGTCATGCGTCACGGGGCCTGGGGTCTCCTGGATGCACCCAGACGGTATCGGGGTCCAGATCGACACCATCACACCTGAGATCAGAGCTCTGTACAACGTTCTGGCCAAAGTGAAGAGAGAAAGGGACGAATACAAGCGAAGGTAGGCCTGAAACCCTATGATTAGGTGCAGGAAATTCACTTTAAAACATGAATCTGTTTGTTTGTTTACTGATTTATTGAAATTTAGCTTCATGTGTTTTTTTTTGTTGTTTTTTTTTTTCAGGAAAGCGGGAGTATACTCTCTAAATATAACAATATTAATTTCCAGGTATTGAGATTCATAAGAATTTAATCAACTTAAAACATTTAATGTTCCCTTTTTGATAAACTGGGAAAAAAAGATTTGGTAAAAAAAAAAAAAAAAACATTTTTTATGAAGCTAAATTGAAGCCATAAAGATTGTTAAAAAACTAAGAAAAAGGGAAAAAAAAACTGAAAAATAAGTTTTAAAAAGAAAACTACATTTCAAGTTCAAGTTTAATTTTTCAAAGTTGCAGATTTTCATTCAAAATGTTTTTTTTCTTTTAAATAAGCTTATTTTTCAGGTTTCATTTTCTAAACAAACCATTTTTTTAGATTTTATTGTTTTTTCTGTCTTTTTAACAAACTTTTTTTTATTTAAAACTCTTGAACAGACCAATTTTTCAGGTTTCTTTCTTTTTTTTTCAAACATACCCTTTTTTAGGTTTGAATGTTTTTTTCTGTCTTTTGAGCAAACTTTTTTTCATTTTTGTTTTTTTTCTTCAGACTTTTTTCAAGTTTAATATTTTTTGTTGTGTTTTTTTCCTTTTTTTTTATACAAACTTAAGAAGCCTCATGTAACGTTTCATGTTGAAGTAAACTGGTTTTGCAACAGTATTAATTTAGTAAAAAATGTATTATCTTAGTGTCAGGGAACAGGCACTATTGTTTATTTTTTTTCTGTTTTGTATTTATTAATGAATTAAAGACTAATATTAATTTCCTTATTTCCAGTGAATTTTTAGAAAGTTCTTTGTTTCTTCCTTTTCTCCCTGACATGTGTTCTGACACCAATCATCAAATTAATTGCCAAGGGCTGATAATGCTGACTTGGGGGAAAAAAATAAACTGACTTCATTACTTAGTGTTTCAGTACCTGGGGAATAAATGTTTCTGCAACTCAATCTTTCTTCAACACAGATTTCAGACTTTTATTTTTATTTCATCCAGTGGCCTGTTTTTTCTCACAGCAGGAATATATAAGACTGGTGAAAATTTGTATTTATAATGTTTTGTTTTTTTGTGAGGCTCCTGCTTTGCATCACAAAGCTGTTTTGAAATGTTGAAGCTGTTTTATTCTGGTGTAAAATGTGATTCAAGCAAAGTTAAAGTAAGCTGTTATTGTGACTTCATCCCTTTTTCTATTTATAAAAACTCAGAATATAAGTAAATTCCAAGTTTAAACACTTTGGGCAGTTTATTTGAATCAGTTATAGATCCACACAAGTGTTCATAATTTGGATCAGTGATATTAAACTAATTCAAAGAGTTTCAGTAAACCAGCAGGTTTGTTGCAAACATAATTTAGTTCATCTAATAAATTTTGTCTTTCTTTTGTTTATGTCTCCATTTCACCCAGTTTGAATTCTGACTTTATATAATATTATATTAGCTGTATTCAAGAAAAATGAAAAGAAATGTATAGTAACTTTCCATTATCTATGTAACAGCTTTGACTGAGATGATTTCTAACCTGGACGAGTGTTTGATGCAGGAATACAGGGTTTTCAGTCTGATTGGAACAGTTGGAGGACGTGTAAAATTAACAGTTACCTATAATTAAAAAAATGTGTTTACAGCCTCATATGTGGGGCAGTGGTTGCAGGTGTTGAAGGGTTGCCAGTTTGAACTCCAACTCTGGCTTTCTTTGTTGCGTTCTTGGGCAATACGCTTTACCCTCATTGGTGGTGGTCAGAGGGCCCGATGGCGTCTGTGTACAGCAGCCTCGATGTTTATCAGTGAGCCCCTGGGCAGCAGTGGCTATAAAGTAGCTTACCACCAAGTGAA